ACAGACATGGTCTCTGGAATGATGGCATGAGAAATCTACTTGAGCTTCATCTAAGCCTCTGCCTCCTGTCAGGTAATTTTTTGCTTAGAACATGCACCACAACAACCAGGTACAACTTTTTGGCTAAGGAGCTGGACCTGCTCTCTCACTGCAAATGAAACACAAAGAAGTTGGGCAATGTGCCTAGGACCCAAGTTGCAGGTGGTAAAGCTGGAACCAGAATCCTGTTGCTCCCTCCAGACTCTTCACAGCTGCCCTCTTTCAGTTCGGAGAGCAGCATCTCAACATACAAAAGCCAAGGTTCCTTAAATGTTCTGCTTACTTTTCTGTGATTTTCAGTTCTGGCATCAGCAAGTAATTTATAAAACCAGAGCCACAGCAGGGATGTGAACCCCTGTCCTGGATTCCTATGGGCTCTCTGCAGCTCTCACTCCCCACCGGTCAAACCCGTGTCCACTGCCTCTCACTGATCTTAGGCGAAAACATTTTCTAGTTTCTTCTTTTTCTTTTTTAAACTGATTGAGAAAACAATAGCAGGTTAAGGAACGCACAGCTAGGACATGCCTAAATCACTGCAGTATATACCACATGATAGCAGTACACAGACCACAGAAGCACTCAGCTTTCATTACCTTAAAGGTTTTCAAGGGGGTACAAAAGACCCAAGGTCAGCACAGAGAGGAAGGAATAGCCAAGGAAAACATTGTATAACTTTATAAGAGGTGACCCTACAGAAAAATTAAAGTCTCCCCGATACAAAATAGCAGCATGGCAACAGAGGGGAAGTCCTGCTTCCTTACTGGTGAACACAGAGTGGCTGCTGAACCCCAGAGCTGCACATCAGCTCATCTTGAGTTACCCTTACAAATGGAACAATGACCACCTGGTACTATCTTCCTTTGCTGCTATCATTTCAGGCCCAAATTTGTTATGAAATTGGGCTGCTGAACCAGCCATACTCTTTCTGAACTATTGTTTGTCACCTGCAGAACTGCCTAAAAGCCAAGCCAGATGGAGCGAACTGATCAACAGATCAAAGGAAAAGCCACACGGAAAACATGACCCCAATCACGGTGCTAAGTGGTGCAGCGTGCTCTGTGCTGGGTTCCGTCCTGTGCTTCCTTTCAAGTTCTGCAGACTTGCTGATGCTCCTGTCATCACTGCCCGTCAGAGGACAACCTGGGACGCCAGGAAGGTAAATGGCTTAAGTCAGGCAGTGGGTGAGAGAAGGTGCTCACGGGACATGCACTTGGATGTGCTTCTCATTTACCTGGGGCCAGCCAGGCTGTGCTGAAACAAATGCTTTCTTGGATGAGATGATGGGTTTTAGGGACACAGAGAGCAGACTGAGGCGGTGTAATCAGCCCTACGTTCTGATCAGTAGGACCCAAACATCTCACAACACCAAGGGTAGGATAAAGGTGCCCAGACCCCAAGAGAAAGGACGGGGACAGCCCCCAGACGGTACCAGGTGCCAGATGCCAAGGCACGGAGCGAGAGGGTCTCTCCTGCGAGCGCCACACCCTGTCCACACATCACACATACCAAGACCAAGACATCTTCTGGCACGGTCTGCTCCCCAGACCTTCTCAGTGTTACGGCTTCCAGCTAGATGTCCCTCCAGAGCCCCAAGCGCTCATAGGTAGGGCTCTTTGGAGGCGGCTGGATCTAGGACGTGTGATAACTGAATGAGCTTAGCATAATTCTGGGTGTGGAACTGGAAGCCCGACCCTGGGTGTCACTAATCAATAGGCCTAGAGCCTGGATGGAATATAAAGGGAGACAGGGAGGGAAGGCAGGGTTGCTGCTGGCTACTGCTGCCTCCTGCCTGCTGTGCCATGGGCTATTTCTCCTCTGCTATGCTGCCCTGCCTTGGAGCCAACCAACTATGGATTGAAACCTATATAAACTGTAAGCCAAAACCTTTCCTACTTGCTTTAACTTGTGGGTGTTGGGTATTTTGTCCCAGCAACGATAAAGTAACTAAGACAGACTTTGGTCCAGAGAAAGGGAGTCACTGCCGTGATGCTACCTGACCGTGTGGTTCAGAAGCCTTTGGAACTGGCTTGTGGGAAGAGTGTGGAAAGCTTTGGAGATGGCAGCTGAAGACGTAGCCCTGGAATGCTGTAGCTGAACTTGATGGGAGATTCCAGTCAGATCTCAGGAGACCAGAATTTTTAATTTGGGTCCTTGTGCTTGCGCAGCAGGTGGTGAAACCACTGAGCTAAATCCCCAGCCCAGGAGACCAGAATTTTGATAGACATGTAGCTGGTAATGCTCAGGCTCTGAAGGTTTCTGTTGGGAAGAAGGACTGAATTGGCTGTTGGACTCCAGACCACGTGTGTTAAGCTTTGGGATAAAATTTGTCTGTATTTTGCTCATGTTCAAAGACTTTTCCTGAGACTGAGATTAAGGGCAGCAAACTAATTAATCCTGAGGAAGAACTTTCAAAGCAGTCTAATGTTGAGGTTGTGGCATGTCTACTGTTGGGGGTTTTAGCTAGGTCTATGTTGAGAATCAAGAGCAAAGGGTCTAGCAGAATGATTTAAAATATTTTGAATTTGGCCAGAAAGAAAGCTCCAGTGAAGTTATGGCCTGCAAACATGGAGCACAGGAGAATTTGGTTGCTGCAAAGGAACAGGACACTAGAAAAGACAACCTGAGGATATCACAAGAACCAGCAGGACTTCAGCCTTTGCAGTCTCAAAAGTGCAAAGGTGAAATAAATACTTTGCTGGAGAAGAGAGCCCCAGGGCACAATGTTCCAGAACAGTGACAGTCTAGGGAACTTGTTCCTCAGGATTAGGTTCACAGCGCTCAGCAACCCAGGCACTTAACCCTTACAGTCAAGAGAGAAGGAAGCCTGGCCAGTGCTCCAGCTGATGGCAGACATTGGTGTCATCCACATGGTGCTGGTTCTAGGGGCATGCAGAATGCAAGAGTTTTGGGGTCAGGAAGGCTTCTAGTTAGATTTCAGAAGGCCTGAGAGGCCAGGCAGTGAGGGGCCCTGTGAGGGCAGTGCGTAAAGCCATGAGAGTGAAGCTGAAGGTGCAGTGAAGATCCCAGAAAGTTAGAGAAGCCAGAAATGTGGATCATCTGAGGAAAGTTGCAAGGAGTGAGCAAAGCTGGCTCAAGACAGAAGCCATGGGAGCTCCAATCTCCTACAGTGTAGGGCTGGAGCCACCCAAGCTATTTGGAGTTCACATCCTGTTACAGATTGCCCTAGATGCTAGACATGGAAGTATGGTACTTAATATTTGAACTGCTGGATTTTGGTCTTGCTTTGGTCCTATTTCTTTTTTTTTTTTAGAGTAGGAAAAATTTATTGGGAAAAAGAAAGCTTCTGCCTAAGAAAGACAGAATGGGGACCAGAAAGTGGGTTGCCTGCTCACCCCACTTTTCAAAGATGTTTTATACAGCAAAGCCATGTGGTGAGGCGGGTACAAAGTGGGACAAAACTATAAGACCCAATGGAAATTTACGAGGTGGGCATGAGATGGGGCAAAACCATGACCAACCAGTAAGATGACAAGTACAGTCACACAGGTAATACTGATTAAATGGAGGGGGTCCCTAATCCTTTCTATCCTCCTTATTGGAATGGGAATCCCCCCACCTTATGCCATTGTATTTTGGAAGTGTTTAACTTTCTTTCATTCGTACAGGGGCTTGCAGCTAAGAATTTGCTTTAAGGAGACTTTGCACTTGGACTTTTCAGCAATGTTGAAACCATCAGGACTTTGGCAACTCTTAGACCTTTGGCATAAAGAGATATGCACTGAGATTTTGGGGGACCAGGGGCAGAATGTTATGGCTTGTATGTAGGTGGTCCTCCCAAAGCTTCATGTGCTTATAGGTGGGGTTTTTGGGAGCTGGCTGGATCTAAGGTATGTGATATTAAGATCGAGGGTGTGTGGTACTGAATTAGTCCACTGATTAGTTTAGTAGAGTTGTGGGTGTGATTAATGGAAAGGTCCACCATGGGTGTGGGTGGCATCACCCAAAAGGCTGGTAGCCTAGATAGGAAAAAAGGTGAAGGGAGGCTTGCTGCCTTCTGCCTGCTCCACCATGGACTACTTCTCCTCAATGATGGCCCTCTGCCGTGCTGCCCTGCCTTGGAGTCAGTTGACAATGAACTGAAACCTCTACAAACTGTGAGCTGAAATAATCTTTCTTCCTTAAACTTTGGGTGTTGGGTATTTTCTCCCAACAAGAAGAAAGTAACTAAAGACACTCAGGAAGCTTCTGGAAGATGAACTCCAGCAAAAAGAGGAATGGGGAATATACTACAAAAACAACAGAGACTATTTCCAGGGCAGAGAAAGGGCAAGACTCAGGAGGGAAGGGGCTTCCCTCCCTTAGTGACAGATAGAATGGAAGAATGCTGAATAAATGAAAAGATGAGACAATTACCAAACCTAGGTAAGACAAAAAGAAGTGTAAGGAAGTATAAACACAGTAGCCTATTAAATTTAGTAAAAGAATTTACAGTTGTCATCAACACTATAAAATTCCACTATATAATTAGCTAGGATTAGACCGGCAGGAGCATTATATTTCTTTTCCATGCTAAGAATTCAGCAGCTAGGCTAACAGTTTCAGTCCTGGTACTCCAGAACAATGATGTGGTTATCCTCAAGAGGCAACCCAGGGGACTAGTAGTTTTCATTCTAAGCCTTTCAATGCTTTTGGGTTTTGTACTAATTTATGTATCATTTTGATAACATTTTAAAAGAAAATAGACTTATTTACTTTAGAATATATCCTCTCCACCATCTGATGGTAGCAGTCAGAGATCAATAGAGTACAACAAAAAGTCCATGAAACAGACCCAGATAGACAAGGGACCTTCACATTCTCTTCACCTCTGCTATCTGTGACAAGGACACATCTGACATATCACTGTCCGTTACACAACACAGATCACGGTAGTAACACAATGGACAGTTCCTAGCACCCCAGGGCCAGTACGCAGGCTGGGCCCACCCTCCCTCCCTCACCTGGTACCACGGATGCCTGCAGCACTCCTCTCACTGGATGAGCAAGACCCAAGAGGTTGTTCCCTGTGGGGCCCTGGTGCCTTGGGCTTCCTGGGCCGAGGTGCCCTTTCCTGCTCATCGTCCTGTTCTTCTGGCTTCTTCTTCTCGCTGTCGCTGTCATCACTGCCTTCTCCAAGGATGTCATCAACCTGACAAAGAGCCAACAGTTAGTGGGCTTCCAGCTTTGTGAAGGATCTATGTGACCCAGCCCTCCCTCCAGGAAGGATGACAGCAGCTTCCCACTGTCCCCACACAAGGGGGCTGTCGGTGCCACTCTACTATGGGCCAGATGTTTAGTTCTGCTTTCTACTGGAATGCTGGGGTCTGAAATGAAGCCAGGCCTTGCATGAAGGCAAAAGATGAGTACACGTGTGCAAGACCCAGTGTAGCACAACTGTAGCCATAGAGTTCCTGAGGAATGAGGATGACAGCTTCCTGGTCACAGGTTTAAATTTTTTCAGTGTACTGTACTGATGGATTTCAGGTAACAGGGTATTTATTTAAAATCCTCTGGCTCCATGAGAGCATGGTTTCCTAGGAAGAGCAAGGGTCCTCAATCTTAGAGTCTGTGTTGCAGACATGTCCTCCTGCCTGTCTGTTCACTTGATTTCTCTCCAATTTACCTCACATTTGGAATTTACCAAAGTGATGGAGAGGAGGACAGGACTCCTCTGATATTTTTTTTTTTTTTGGTAGGGGGATCGAACTCAGGACCTTGCACTTGTGAGGCAGGTGGTGGAACCACTGAGCTAAATCTCCGGCACCCTCTCTGATACGCAAGACAGGGCAGAGGGGAGTAAGGAGGAGACAGGGACGGAGGACAGGGAAATAAAATGTGCAACAGACAAGAGAAAAAAGATAGCCAGCAGGCTGACTTTTGTGCCCAACACTGACAGAGCCCCTTCCCAAACTTCAACATCCAAGAAACAGAGGTATGACAACCCTGATACGCAGGTGGGAGACAGCCTTGTGCGTAGAGTGTGGGCAGAACCAGGGCCTGGCCTTGGCACTCTGGCCCCACCACTCAAAGCTCTCACCTCCTCTACTGCACTGCACAGAAATGGTGTGGTGTAGAAGGTGCAGAAAAGAAAATGGACACGGCAGAGAGGGACGAGTTCAGCTATCCACTAGTGGAGGGAGGTTTATTCTATTTGCACCACTGATCAAATGGCTAAAAGGTGCTGTCCCTCAGGGACCTGGCTCCTATGGTGGGCACAACTCTTGGGGGCTCTCATCTTGAGAGCCCAGCTTTGCTCCAAGCTCTCCTAGGCTACGGACTGTGAGGCAGCACAGCCACGAGGGGCCCTGAGACAGGTATGACAGTTACAGCCACTAAAGCATCTCCAAGAAACCTTCTAAATGGTTGGCTACTTGCAGCACACCCCAATCCAAAAATGGTATCAAGCATCCCTGCCAGCACGTGTGTGCGGCTGACAGCTGACCCAAGTGTGTACTAATTCCGCCTGCTGGCTGGAAGAGTCACAGAAACACTTTGTACAGCCAAACCAAAATTGCAGATGCACACCAAATGTGACCTTGTCTCAGTTGTGCTTACGTCTGCTCTCTTCCTTTACATCTGACTCACATAAAAGTATATGTTTAGGAATGACCCTATCTTTCCAAGGCTTTCACAAAAATAACTGTATCTTTTGAAAAAATAGTTGTCTGTAATGAACTGTTGTTTGCTTTATTTAAAGATACTAAGAGTAATTTCTTTAAATATCAAGGAAAAACTTGAAAGTATGTAAACAGAGAAAATAAAATGTAATTTATACCCAGTTAAGTCCTAAAATCTCTACCAAAGGGCAAATACTGATCAATGAAATGCTGCTGTATCTTGGCAACACAGGGAACATAAATGTTTCCATCAACCAAGTTGTAAAAGGCAGGATCAGGGAGAATCAATTTCATCAGTTTTTGACTTGGTAAGTGAGGTAAGATGGTTTAGAGAAAGAGCGGGGAAGGAAAAAATGGAGAGAGAAGGAGGTGGAAAGACACAACTTGAATGGAAGAAACAGAATGGGCAAAAGCAGAAGAGCTGAAAGGAGGCATGGGAGCCCGCTGAGCTGTCCAGTCATAGAGCAGGCTTCATTTTCGCTTGCAGCTCAGCAGTTTCCTTTTTCCTACCTTCTCATTATCATATTACAGAGGACTCTGACAGACTTGGGGACAATCTCATTCTGGCCTTGCAGGCTGGGGTCAGCAATGGGTGAATGTGAGAAACACATGAATTAGCGGTTCTACATCAGCTGTCACAGGTGACAGGACACAGGACCTCCTTTAGAAAGCCACCACTCACATGAACTCTAAGGAACAAATGTCTCCTTACTGTGAAATCATATCACCTAAAAGCTTTTGGAGCTAGTATAAATGTATTTTTCTCCTCAGCCAAAAAAACAAGCACTGTGGTCATTCTGATAGTGAAACTAAAAGCATTTATAGATGCATTAGAATTAACTTTCTCTAGAAGGTTTCCCAGTGACCCTGAAAAGAACAGAAGGAGAGCTGCACAGAACCGGATGGTCTCCAGTTTACCTATCCCTAAACTGTGATACTGTGGGCACCAGACAATTCCTGACAACCAAGGCATGCCACTCACACTTCCCCTGCAGGTTAAGCTACAAGTGCTGCCAACTCTAGGCTAACTCTGTGAATCCAGCTGTTCCCCCTCGCTTCCTGAGACTGCCCTGTTCCTCTCTTTATGTGACAGTTTGACTTTAGCTGCACCAGTCAATTCCTGATACACAGGGCATACCACTCACACTTCCCTTGCAGTCTAAGCTACAATTACTGCTAGGCAAACCTTGAAGCACATTTTCATGACTGTTTAAACTGTGGGTCTCCCAGGCTGCAATCTCAGTAAGTTCCAAATATACTGCATGTATTACTGCTTTGTCCTTTACTAGGTTGATTTTATGTTGGCCAATAGGATATTGTGCCTTTACACACAGAACCCTGCCTGGACTTCTTAGGTGGGAATTACTTGTGTGGACACCACTTGTAGTGAGCTCTTGGAGAAGTGCCAGAAGCCACAGTGAGTGCAGGAGCCTGTGACTCCTCCAAGGACAGCATGAGGGAGAGGGAGGATGTCTGTCACTCCTGAGATGGGTCTTAAAAACTGGAAGGGACTTTCTCATGGGAATTAGCTTCCACAGAAGGTACATCCTTAACCTTGCTGCCGTGGGGCCTATAGCAACCACTCTGAGCCTAGGCCCTGGTCCCACACCTGCAGGGGTGCCACGGACTGAGTACAGCCTGAGAACCAGAAGAGGGTTGCCACCCCCAACCCCCGCACCCAATTCCCAACCCTAGAAGCAGAGAGACAAGAAGCCAGGGTTATTCTAAGCTGCTGAATTTGCGGTAACTTGTTATGCAGCACAGAGAAATAATACAGTGGCTAACATGTATTTTGAAATGGAATGATATCAAGTAAGAAGACATTTTTGTGAAAAGAAAGCACTTGAAGGTCAAAGAGGAACTTTAATGATACATGAAAAAAAACTCTTCAAACTTGGAAAACAAACTTGAGGTATTCAGGAACTGCTTGTCAGGAGGATTTAAACCTTCACACAGACGCTGGCTGTAGGCAGCACGTATGTTCCAAAAATGACTTATGCAAATGACATGCTCTATAGCTCACACCAAGAAGTTCTCTACTTAGAGGAGGTGACAAGTCATACAAAACAAAAGATAACTATAATTTCTTTCTTGCATATACATACACTTTCATATATAATAAAACTTTAACTCACTAAAACTTCAGTAATCAAGCTTTCAAGAAATATTCAAACCTCAAAGAGATATAAACATTTCTGCTAAACATTTATCAATGTAATAAGAGAAAAATCCAAATACCTGATCTAAGAAGACTCAGTTCTTTTTTCTTTTTTGAGACAGGGTCTTACTATGTAGCTTAGAATGGCCTTGAACTCACTGCAATCCTCCTGCTTCAGCTTCCTGAGTGCTAGGATCACAGGTGTGTATCACCACAGCCCTGCTAGGCTCATTTCTAATAATACAGTTTACAAAATAATTCATTCTGAAAGGATTTTGGTTAACCAGGATAATTTGTAAGATAAGGTCATAACTGTGATTAAGAACCACAAATTGACACAGAGAAAAAAACTGCTACTGTTTAGTAAGAGATGGTTCCCAAATATCACTAATATACATGTGTATGTTTTGAACATAATCTTCAGGTTTATAAACAGCGTATCATCACAGATAGGTTTGGCCCTTTAATTTCCTGGATAGATTCCCATCTATCAGTAATTGTTGGGCTGGGGATTTAGCTTAGTGGTTTCGATGCCTGCTGTGAAAGCGCAAGGACCTGAGTTCAATCCTCGATACCAAAAAAAAAAAATGTTGTCATAAAGTATCTGAAAGAGGTTTGATGTGTTAAGAGGCACCTAGAACTTACTGGACAAAGGATAAATTCAGTAAAATAAACACACTCAACAGTTTTATCTTGAGAGTGTTACACAGGTCATTAGGAAAGAAATGATTCTTATTAGGAATAGCTGGTTCCTATTCCGTTTTTAATTCTCACCTAATTAGCACCTTTCCAGGTTCCTTAATTAAAGGGGAAAAAGACTGCAGAAAAAAGCAGAAATGGACAAGTGAAGAGGCAGCTTGCATGGGAGGCACTCAGGGCCAGCACAGTCCTAGAAGAGCACACTGGCCCCTCGCTCCAGACTACTCTCAAAGACTACTGGTCCCTTCTTACAGGATGAGGAAGGGTCTGTTCTTTCTTCTGCTGAGCGTCCTTTCTCAAGGCAGCTGTTTAAATACAGGGTCTATAGAAACAGGCAATTGGGAGGGAAGTAAAATGAACAATGTTGTGTCTGTATTTCATTGTTGTAATATTTAAATGACATTTTCAGGTATTATCATAAATCTCAGTTTTGTTTTGTTTTTTCTTCAAGATAATGAAGTCCATGCCAGTAATGGCAGAGCTACCTGCCTCCTAAAATCAAAAAGTGAAATCATGCAAGACACACAGAGTTCTCTGACTCTGACTTCTCTCCTGAAATGTAACTCTGAAGAGCCTGGAATCTGCACACGTCAGTGGGTCTCCTGATTTCATCAGTGGGCTGTGAGCGCTTTGCCAAGCTAGTGTAAAACAAACAGGGCCATGAGGCAGAAGACT